AATCAAGTATGTTCGTGAAAGCAAGCATAATGGCTTGCCATGTTTGTCTAGGGACCATTACCATATCTGTCTAGCGACCGTATGCTTGAGCAATTGAGTTTTTTCGTTTCTTCAGTTGGGTTTGGGTTTTTAAAAAGGATCAATTTGGTATATAACAAAGAAAAAAAAAATGAAAATACTAATAAAAAAATTTAGATCTAATGGTTACGATTTTGCCACATGAAATGTTTTTGCCCAAATTTTCCTTTTAGAAAACCATATTCAAGATCGTATCCCATAATTTTAAGGGATTTGCAAAATTTTATAAACACAAGTAAATCCGAAGACATTGTCATATATTATGTTCCATAGACAACCAAGACATTGCATGATTTGTGGTAGGGTTTTATATCATTATTTGGTTTAAGGACCACGGGTAATTAGTTTATGCAATTTTTTTAGCGTAATTCTAGTTTAGCTTTTAATCTCATACATTAGCTCTAAGGTTATTTAGACTTAATTTTTTGATTACGGTCTAAATAACTTACGGGTATATAAACCATCTACTATTACACATACTTTCACTAATTTCGTGCTAATAAGTACAAGAATCTCATGTGGAAGACCAACAATCAACATGCACTACAAAAAAAGGAGTGGATTGTATCACTTAAATCATATCACAAAACTGAGTGATATTATTTTAAATTACATATTTATAAATGACACAAATAAATATGATTTAGCATCATTTATGATGTCGATAATAACCAATTTCACATCACTTTAATAAAATTGATACAATTTATATTAACTTGTATCGTTTTAACAAAAATGATACTAAAAAAAATGAATTAACATCAACTAGATAATCCATGCTTTTAATAATTTTTGTTAACATCATTTATAAAAATGATACAAAATATTGTATCAATTAAAACTGATGCTAATAATTGTTTTACGAAAAAGACTATATTACATCATTTAAATACTATCACAAAACAAAATGATGTTATTTGTACATGTAAATCTAAATCTATAAAATGTATCTTTCCTTAACCGTAATAAATTTATATTTACTAGTATTTAGAAACTTATTCCTATATTTTGAACTAAATCAAATTAATGTGGGACCTCCAAATATATTTGTTAGTTTTAAGGAAAATTCATAAACGAAAATTATGGCTTTAGATCTTTTAAACTACTTTAATTTTTTTTTTTTTTAACAATTAAATCTCTAGTTTCCTATAAAGATTCACCCACTCTTGCCCTATCTGTGAAACCGTTTCTTTTTCGTCAGAAAAATGGGTTTTCTTCTTTTGTTCCTCTGATTCTCTCCCTCCTCCTTGTTCAAGGTTGCTATTCCATAACCTTTTTTTTTTTGCTAAAATACTCCATGACCTTACATCGTTGATATCACC